CCCCCCCCGAGCCCACCACGCCGCCCTCCTTGGGTCAGCCCCCCCTCCGAAATCAGATTTCTTGGGGCCTTTCTGCAAATCAGGCAAATTCAGATCAACACACACACACACACACACGCCCCCCTCTCCCCCCCAAAAAAAGCCAACCCTGAGGAGGATTTGTGGAGCGGGTGGGAGTTCTTGGGCAGTTACTTAACGCTGATGATGCGCCGTGTCCCGGTGTCTGACATTCCCCTTCCCCCAGCTGGCACTTCGGGCTGATTCGCACCCCCCAACTTAGCACCCCCCTGCACCCATTTCAGTCCCTTGACCCCTCCCAAAACACCCCCCTTCCCTCCCTCAGGAGGCCACAGGACCCCCAAAAAGCTTATTTGAGCCAAGAGGCAGAGTGGGAGGTTTAACTGGTTTATTATGGGATGACCCCGGTGGCTTTGGGGCTTGTTGGGGGGGGGGGTCCCCCCCATATCTCCCCCCAGGGACCCACTCACAGGGGGATGGTCCCCAAAGGATGGGTTGGGGTTTTTTTGGGGGGGGACGACAGTGGGTTCTGCGATCCCAGATGGGGGGGTTGGAGTCAGTGAACCCCTGGAACCCTCTGGGTCATCTCAGGGCTCCCCTAGTCTCCTCCAGTTACCCCAGTTCCATCCCCTATGGGCATTTTCACCCCCTTTTTAGAGATGGGGGAGGACAGGAATTGTCCCTGTCCCCAAACGGGTCAGGGCACGGGCTATGGGGACACCCCAGTGTCACCAACACACCGGGCTGGTTCTGGGGGAACCCCAAGGTCCCCATCACTCTGTGGGGGGACACTGGACGCTGCGGGACACGGCGATGGCTTTCTGCAGGCGGTCAAGGCCACGCAGGAGCCCCATCTTGTGCCGGATGGAGTGGTCCAGGTTGACGGTGACGCCGAGGAAGGCGCGGGCGTCGCGGGCGGCGAAGGGGAAATCGCAAGCCAGAAAAGTTTGAAAGAGTTCAGGGTCCCCGTCCAGGCTGAGGACGTTGTGCAGGGGCTGCCGCAGGGCGCTCAGCTCCCCCAAGTTCTCCTGGAAAATGCTCCACAGGGATCGTCCCCCCAGATCCGGCGCCGGGTGGCTCTGCCAAGCATCCTCCAAGCACTGCAGCACCCAGCTCAGCCGGCATGGCCACTGGTCGGCCAACACCACCCAGGCCGCCGCGGCGCGGGGTGAGGGGGTGCCGGGGGTGCCGGTGCGGTGCAGGAGGAGCCGGAGGGTGATGGGGATGGTGTTGACGATGCGGCGGACATGGGTGCCGTCGGTGGGGAGGTAACGGGCCAGAGGGTCGGCGCCATCATGGAGGCAGCGGAAAGCTTCGTGGATGCAACGGACGGCTTCAGCGTCTGCCTCCCGCCCAGTGGGAGTGGCCGGGACGTGCTGGCATTTGGCTCGGCGGCGTTCCACGTTGCTGGTGATGATGCGGTACATGAGGTCTTCCCGTGTTTGGACAGCGGCTTCCAGGCACTGGAGGCGGGAGCGGGCGCCCATCTCCGGGATGGAGAAGGGCAGCGTCACCGTCCGGTTGAGGTAGAGGTAACCGTTGTCGGCAAGACCCTTCATACAACCGGTTTGCTCCAGGCAGGGGACGATGACGCTGGGGTCAACAGCCAGGATGAAGATGAAGGGAGTGTTGGTGTCGGAGAGCAAGGTGTTCATGGCATTGAGGACACCGGCCACCTTCTCTGGGTAGCAGATGTCCAGGCTGGTGATCTCCAGCACCACGCGGAGCCGTCGGCGTTCAAAGATCTCCATGAAGGCCAAGTAGTCGACCAGCACCTCCACCTCTCTGCGCACCTTGCTCATGAAGCCCAGCTGGCTGGTGAACTTCTCGCTGTTGGTCAAGCGCTCAATCTTCTGCTTCTCGCTGACCAACAGGTTCTTCAAGACGGAGACAGCTCCGAGCACCAAACCGGAACCAGAGAGGGAGGTGACGGCGCTCCCCACCACCTTCAAAGCGTGGTGGTCCTTGATGCCGGGCACCAAGAGGGCCACCAGTAGGATGCTGAGGCCGGCGCCCAGGATGAAGAGTAGCCCCCAGAGCTTGAGGCAGGTGCCCGTCTTGAGCACCCACTCCTTCTGGCTGAAGCCAGAGGCGAAGCGAGGCCGGGTGCCCATCACATGGTAGACGCTGAGGGGCAGAGCCCCAAAATGGTGGCGGATGTTGTCACAGAGGGTGGTGACCAAGCCAGCCCAGAGCTTGTCGCAGCCGGCGTACTGCCAGGCGCTGAAGCGGATGAAGATGAACTCGATGTTCTTCCTCCTCAGGTGGCCCTCGGTGATGATGGGCTTGTAGAAGGCCAAGTACCAGAGGGCCAGGAGCAGCCCCCAGCCCTCGGGGCTCCGCGGTTTCTGGTGGCTCCGGCGCAGCTCGGCCTCCTCCCGCCGCGCCATCTCCTCCCGCATAAAGCCTGGATGGCAGGGGAAGGGGGACCCCGAATTGGGGGGAGAAATGGGGTGGGGTGTGATGGGATGGGATGGGTACTGGTGCAAGGGGGGACCCCAAAGCTGTAGAAGAAAACGGGGTGGCAGGACAAGCAGCAGGGACCCCAAATCCAGGGGTGAGGAGAGGGGAGCGGGACAGACGCTGCTGCACGAGGGACCCCAAATCCAGAGCTCAAAGAGGGGGGAGGCCAGTGCCATGGGGACCCCCAGCACCCGGCCGGGGCTGGCTGGGGGGACTCGGCAGGGTGACGTGTGGTGGCCCCGTGGCACCCACCAGTGACCTTGTCCAGCAGGGAGTAGAGGCGGTGGCCACAGGGTGC